GGGACGTGACGGGAGGATGGAGGGAGGCAGTAAGCAGAGGTACCTGCATTCGTCCCTGTTTTGCCGAGTTTCACACAAGGCTGGCTATCGTTTCAGTTTACAGCAAGCTGCAAGCTCAAGCTGGTCTCGTAACTGCTAACTGGCTTTCCCCTGCCAGCATCGGAGGCTAAATATAAGCCCGCGGAGCCGGCCCCGCGTCCCTGCCCGTATCTGGCAGCGCCTGGCATTCCACCGCGATTTCACAGAGCTGATGCTTTTCACGAACTTGGCAGCTGAAGAGAGCTGCCTCTCCCCGAATAAGCTGTAGGAGTTTCTGAAGGAATAGGAAACAGATTGCTAGTTTTCTCCTCAGTGCAAAGGGCAATGTTGCAATTTTCTTTTGAGTCCCGAAGTTAAATGTTGTGCTCCACCTCCGGGAAGTAAAAAAAATCACGCCAAAAACTTGTTCAGACAGGGCTGCTTGTTGTCCAGTGGTTTGTTTGGTAACACTATGGGGTTTTCTGAGGAAACTGGTATTTTTACAGGATTGGCAGTTATTAAACAGCATTTAATACGCAAGGGAAACTTATGATGAATATGTTAGCATCTGTGCCAGACCAAACATCTGCAGTTTTCAATGGAGCAGGCAATAGGAAATCAGAATTTTAATTCTGCTTTTCAGCCAACAATATAAATCAGCTATTTGAAATTCAACTGAATTGAAGAATTTAATTTTTTGGTTCTTAGGGTCAAAAAGCAATAGCCGTAGTTCAGCAAAGTATTCCACATGAACTAGACACGTGAGTAACCTTGTCCTTAAGTTACTTGTTTACACACTGATAAATGTGAATGATAGTTTTAAAAAACCACAGAGGCATATGCTAATTCAAAATATGCCCAGACGCATAGTGGAAGCCTGCCAAGTTTCACAGGTTTTAGGCTTCACTTTCACATTAGAAGTACCTGTGCAAATCCAGAGCCGAAGAAGAAAAGTTCCCAGTTTGACTTGACAAGATATTCCCAGAGCAGAGAGCGGCCGCAGCCAGCCTGCCCTCCCTCGGCGGGGGCTCAGGCCAGCCCCCGGCGCTGCCTCCCGCCTTGCTCTCACAGCTCGGCCTCTGGTGACCCAAGGGGACCCCTGCTCCCTTGGGACCTGCTGGGGAAGGAGGTCCCTGGCAGCACCTCTCCTGGCTTCAATTTTTGCCATTTAGTTCACAACTTGAGAGGGCTAAAAAGAAACCTGCCACGACATAAAAATCGTCTGATGTCTGATAACAGCACTGACATACTTAGGCTACGTACAGTCATCAGTGACCGAGTTATTCGGACTTAACAAGTTACCTTTTGTGTGTGAGTGGGGCTACAGTAACCTGCCTTAACTATAGAGTAAAATAAATTAGAATAAACTACCACAAAGGTGATTAAAATCAAAGCAAGAAGTGTTTAAACCAGTACATCATATTTAACAGGTGGGGTACACTAAAGATGTTCCTGTCTATACTTACACAATCTGATCTTTGAGAGTGCAACTTGGTAAGCCATGGTAATTTAGTAACAAAATTGTCCTACTGATGCAAAAGCTAAGGATTCAACACCTACAGAGGCTGGTACATTTCGCTGTAGCTTGCTTGTCCTTGGAAATGGCTGATGCTGAAGGGATGTTACAGAAAACAGGATGAATGAAATCTAATATTAAAGAACACATTGAATGGAGTATTTTGGACATATTGCCTGAATGATGAGAATAGGCTTGTGACTGGACAAAGTATTTAAACTACTCAGGAAATAATTATTGAAAATATGAATAAGCAGATAATTGCAAAACATTGCTGACCAACTTTAGTTAATGCATCTTGGAAAAGCAGTGGTGGTATCAAGATGAACTTAATGAACAAGAGAAATTATGTGAGATAAAAAAGCTATAATTCAGCAAGGACAAGGGTGATCTTCTACATGCTGGTTGGAATAACTGATTGTGCAAACAGGGTGGAAAGTGACACGAAGGACCTGTGAATTACCATGTGCCACCAACCAAATGCCAGCCATTTCATGCTGCTGAGAAAAAAATGAATGTCATATGGGGATGTATGAACAGGAGTGCCATATGCAAGATGTGTGAAATCATCCTCCTACTCTACTTGCTGCTGAAAGCCTCAGACTGAGTCCTGCGCCCAGCTTTAGGCACTGCACTCCACGGAAGATGTGCAGCGGCCAAAAGCAAGAAGATTGCTGGAAGTCTGATAAGCATAGTCTGAGAAAACCTGGGATGAAAGGGAAAAGGACTGGGCAAGTGAGAGCGGTCCCAAGTACACAGAGAAAAATAAATTGTTTTCCACATGCAGTGGATAAATAAGGAGGACAGCCGGGTTGCAAAAGGAGCATTCAGGTTAGACATGATGCAAATACTGTAGTGGCAGTGCAGTGAAACACAGGGGGAAGCAGCCCAAGGAGGAGACAAAGTCCAGAGTGAGAAGTATCTGTTAGGAAAGACGTAATCTTGTCCTGTGGCAGAGGGCAGATGATGTCTGGAGAGTGTCCCCTCCCTGGCTCTGTGATGCAGATGAAAAGTTAAAAATCCTCAGCTGCTATAAACAGGGGAAACTTCATTAATTATTCCTACCAGTAAAGGGGCCTTGCCTGAAATGTGTCCAGTGTAACAATTTTTTCTATCTCATTTTTGCTTTTAGCCATGAGTAATAGTTATGGGGCTACCCTGTTAGCCAGAGATCCTTTAGCTTTCTAAAGGTCAGTTAATCTATGATCTAATCTGTTGGTCACTGAAACTAAGTGGAAACAGTTCAGCAGGCTATAACGGAGGGTGGTTTGTGTCTCTAGCCTTCAGTTACTTTGAGTTAAACCATCCTTCATAAGTAAAACAACACATAGACATGAAACACATTTTGAAACGCATGCTGAATCTTTCTGTTGTACTGAAGGAAAAAAAAAGGAAACCCTGCCTTTCTAGCTATCTGATGGTTTAAAACAGTTCTCATTAAAAACTCCAGAATGTCTTTAGTGCCTTCTGTTCACCTGTGATATTCCTGTCCCTCGGGAGACTTTATGCAGCTGGGGAAGTAGGCAAGATACACGCAACTTGGCTGCTCTGTCTTGACTTGTTCACAGTGAGAGCTGAGCTGCATATTTGAAATGTACTCCTTTTAAGAGTGGAATACTTCAACTAAGCAAGACCAAAAAAAAAAAAACCAGAAAAAAAGAAAAGAAAAGCAGTTGGCCATACAGCTCGGCAGTTAAAGGAGCACTAAAATAGAAGTGTGAAACTTTTCATAGTTATCTGTACGTCTTCAAGGATTTCAAGTCCCAGCATAGACACTATTACTGAATTAAAGATCTGAAAGGTTGTCCCAGCAAGCAGATGCTTTGATCCCTACACTGAGCTAATATTTCATACTTTTGAGTCGCTTTCCACAGGTGCTTTCATATGGTTGGACTTCAGACTGCTTTTCTATTACTCTTGCAACACATCTGGAAATTCCCGCCTATGTAATATATGTAATACACACTACTTAGTTTGAGGAACTGAATTTTATAATACATGCACAGGCATAAAAACCCACAAAAGAAACCAAAGACTCAGGTCAGAAAGCTAGCCTTCATTTGACTCTGACTTTCTTGTGCTGCATTTCCTCATTATGAAACAGTTTAATTTTCATGGATGTCACCTGAAAATGAAAGCCGATGTAATGTAGCTGAATTCTCTTTGTCACTGAATGTATTCTGTACGTTAACTGGTGGTGCGATGCACTGGAGCATAGTCTTTAATTAAAGTGCAACAATACCACAGCTAACCGTACGGGCAAGGCACAGGAACCTGGCGCTGGATGTAAAAATAGTTGTGCTGAAACCTGCCCCATCACTACACAATGTGACTAAGTCAGTGGAGCCACTCTGACGCTTGAAACCTGAAGTATTACTGAGCACTGATTTTCAGCTGGGGAAGCTGTGATCAAATCAATGCATGTATTATTCTCCACAAATGAATAATGGCATGAACGAGGACATATTAAACACCTACAGCGCACAAAGCTTTTCACACTGGTTATGAACCAAACACAAACAAAGAGGCTGTGAACTCTCCAGAGCTCTCATTTTGTCTCCTGTGAAGTCCTCCTGCCTGTTTGGATACAATGCGCAGCATCCCCACAAATGCCCTGGTGCCAACAGGAGAGGGCACTGATTTTGGGTCTGGAGCAAGCTGACCGCCCTTCTCTCCTCCTCTTTCCTACCCTCGAGGGAAACAAAACAAAACGAAACCACCCCGTACCCCACAGTGAGTGCAGGCGGTACGACAACCGGGGAGATGTAGGCGCCTCTGCCGGCACCGGAGCCAGGGAGCGGCCAAAGCCGCTTCCCTCCGTGGTCGTCGGCCGTGGGATGCACCGGCGCAAACCGGACGGGTCCGTCCCTGACTGGGGGAGGCAAAGCTCTGCCCCCCCAGGGTTGTGAAACCCTCCCTACGCTCGCTCAGCCAACCCAGGGGCTGCAGGGGAAACGCAACCCAGAACCGAGCACGGCCCTGATCCCACAGGCGGGCGCCCGCCAAGCCGGGACAGCACCGCGCTGCTCTCCAAAGGAGCCAGCGCTCTCTGGATGCCCAACGCACGCAGCCCCTTTGATTTGCCATCACGGCTGACGCCGTCACTGAGGCACAGGGACCTCTGCAAAGGTTTCCCTCCAACGCTGGCTACCAAAACCAGAATCAAACATCCACGAAAAAGCAGCAGCTGGGCTCCCCCTCTGCACAAGGCACGGCCTTTGCACGCCCATGTTGCTCGTCACCACGTCCTACGGCAGGGTGCTACGCCACACCGGAGCCCCAAGCATGATTTTAATGTCCTGGCACGGTACAAACATCTTAGGAAAAGAGGCCATGTGGATTTGGCACGGGGCAGCGTTGCAGGGAGGAGGCACCAGGAGCCATGCAGTGATGCTTCTCTGCTTGCTGGGAAATGCGTCAGGGAGGCACAAACACACAAAAGAGAGAGGAGATAGGAGATAGTTACCTAACATGACGAAGGGGATTCCCAGGAAGGTGGAATTGTATTTCCCACCAGTGAGATTGATGATCCCAGCTGCAGTCAGGGTGGCAAGGGTCACGGTCAGCAATCCCAGCAGGCCAAGCCAGGGTTTGCTGCGGACACAATCCTGCATGGAGCAGCAGAGAATGGCCAAGGTGACCACAAGGACCAAGCTTGTGATCAGGTAGCGTTCTGACACCCTGCTCGTCTTCTGGAAATCCTCCTTCAGCGAAGAAGAAGTGAAAGGATACATTTTGACTTTCCTGTTGGATTTCTGGAAAAGTTCAACAGTGTCACAAAAAATGGATTCCCACTTCTCTGCCACCATGTCATTCAAGGAGTTGATTGCCTGCAAGTAGTAGGTGAGCTGAATGGCTTCTGCAGACTTCACCCGGTCTTTGCTGTGCACAGTAACCCCACCAAGCTGATGCCCATTATACACTTCCCTGCCATCCTTTAAGTGAGTAATCGGATAAGTGATTGCAAAATTAGTTCGATTAGAAGAACGAGCAGCCTTTAACTCCTCCAGTACATGCACTATGTCGTCCACTATGCATGTCTTGTCATTGTTCAGGATACATATATGGGCAAACGTGTAATTGAAACCAGGTCTTTGAACTTGGATCCTGGTCACAGCAGAGTGCAACTACAAGGGAAAGAGAAATCACACACGTTATTCATCAGTTCATCTCGCACAGTAGCAGCCAGAACAACAGCGGCTCCTCACCTCCGTTCCTTTCCTAGTTGATCTCAGCAACAACAACAAAAGTTCTGGTGACTGCAGTATTAATAGCACACATTGAACAAAAAAAAAAGGAAACATGCATTAAAATAGCAGTATTATTCCCTTACGTCCTTTGCTGGTGACTTGGGTGTGTTGCGAGTTGCATCTGTGCCACATGCATCTGTCGTTGTCGTTGGCCTCTCTAATGTATAAGCAAACTCAAAAGGCCTGGACCTCCACTTTCAAGTGATCTGGGCAAACATAAAAGGGAGAGCAACAGTCCAACCGTGTCTGGGGACACTGTTGCGCTTGGGATTGCCAAATTACTCTCTCGACAGATAAACTTCAGGTGCAGAAGGCAGAAGAGCAAGGTGACCAGGGATGCCACCTCTGCGGGATGCACCGGCAGCCTGGCAGCCGGCAGCGGTGGGGGACTAGCACTCGCTCAGAGTAAAGGACGAGCCACAGCTGCACCTCCTAAGTGTAGAGATTGTCGGCATAGCAGTAATATGATGGCTGGCATTAATTAATTTGACCTCTTTTCCCCTCTTTTCCCCATCAAATCCTCGGCAAGTCTGAGAGCGGGAAGCAGTGGCAGAGACTGACACTGGTTTTCTCTCCTTCTCTGAGATGTTCTGTCAATCAGGGAAGGCCCCCTAATTTTAGGGCCTGCAGGTTATTACCGCTTATTGTTTGGTCTAGCAGCTCTTAGTGCAGCCTCCTGTGTAAGTTGTTTTGCACCCTTCTGAAATTTGCCATCCCTGAGCTCTGACCCAAAGTGCAATTATTTTTAAAATCAGAAGGGCAGAAAAATTACCCTCTCTTCTTGAAAAAATATAGAAAACTCTTGCAAACTTTTCTGGATCCATTTTAGTTAACACAGAAGTAACAAGAAATCTAAAAGATGGCAAGGAAATGGCCCTAATAGGCTCGGGTTGCAGTATCTTTCAGAAGCAAAATACTGAGTCTGCTTATGTTGGGAGCCTTAGCAAAGTCCAAGCTGTTTTTCTGCAAATTTTCCTTGCAAAATGTGCAGGCCTTACCCACCACCATCACCATTTAACTTCTGTGCCGCTCTAGTTGTGTAAAGAGTATCAAGACCTTCTGTAAGGATGTTGCTGAGGCCAAGACCATCTTACCCACTGCCAAAAGTCTGAGCAGACTTCCCCTGTGGCTGTGATGTCCTTCATGGTGGGTAGCCACAAAGTTAAGGAAGGGGCTTTCTCTGCTCTTCTAAGTGGCACAGGGGGTACCCGACACCCCAAATGCCGGAGGCCCCTGCACACTGCTGCGTGTGTGCTTTGTGCACGGCTCGGTGAGATACACGATGCTCTCGAGGTGTGAGCAGGGACGCGGCAGAGGGGTGCGCACCCCTCCTGCTGCCTGGTCCCCACGACCCCATGGACGCGGCCGCCCCAGCGACTGGGCGGTGTGGACTGCCACGTCTGCTGCCATGGGGGGAGCAAACCACCGGATCTGCTCTGAGGAACTGCACAGATTCATCCTTCGGTCCCTTTTACACTGAGGGAAATGGTCATAGGAGTACTGCAAAGGTGGTGTGACAAAAGCAGGGCTGGTGAAAGGGAAGGAGAAGCCCTCCTTCGCTTGCAAAGCTCTTCCAGGGAGCTGAAAAGCCAAATTAAGAACAACTCTAACTTATTTTCCTTAAAAGAGGAATAGTTTTTATCTGCCTTCAGATTTTGAGGGAGACACAGAGAACTGGCTACGGGGACACGATTGCTTTTTCTTTCCTACTTGCACATGCTGTTTCCTGCTGCAATCCAAAGAAGGCAGGAGGCTCTTATGCCTACTAAAGAGGCTGGGATAGGTGATATTTAATGGAACAAGCTCCTTTCTGAAGACAAACACTGTTTAAAAAAATAGAAGACAAGGTACACGAGAGCAGTAAAGCTTATATACTCATCTAGTGACAATGGACAAAATGTCTAATAATCACAGCTAAAATCCTGCATTTGTTGAAATTAAACAGCCACAGTGACTTTTGTGTGGCATTTCAGACCTATTTGCAGAGAAAACCCTCATTTACTTGATACTATGAATCTGATTGTTTTGTGATTACACTGCATAATGTTTGATGTACACCCATTACACTGTGACGGGCATAAATTTAGTTATGTTGCCTCTGTTCCTCAGGATGATATGACATCATGTAGGCAAAGATTACAAAATTCCTATGTTCTCAAAATGTTTCTCTAGCAGCTTGGAGGTGTATTTTTCCACATTTAAGTAGCTTTTATTTTCAACAGAACAACAGTTCAGTGTTGACATTAGAAAGACAGGTTTGAGAAATTAACTGAACTAACAAATCTTTTCACAGTACTGCAAGAACACCATACCTGGCCGTGGTGAGAAGTAAAATTCCCCAACGTGGAGAGAGAACAAATAACAAAAGCCCCCAAAATTAGGGGCTTTTGCACAACTTTCTTCTAAAATGAAACTACTTAGAAGATTTGCAGGAACATGCCAAAGAAATTAATCTGTTTGGGGAATTCTTCCCGTCTTTCCCATTTGTGTCTGCAAAGCTCCACTTTGCAAGAGCTGTTTTGGGGTATGAATTCAAATTTATGTTATTACAGTTTGGGGAAAATTTGCCCTGATTCACTGAATCGAAGACAGATACCTGATTTTAAATATTTCACAATAGAAGCTACTGTATGGTTTTCATTGACGGCAGTTGTAAAATCAGATGTTATATACAGAAGCACAGCTAGGAGGAATAGAAGACAACCAGGAGGAATAGATGGAATTTCCTGCCTGTGTTATTTTCACAATACAACTCCTTCAGAGAGGATCCATCGAGTGACACAATCCAGAAGAAACTAAACTGTCATGCAACTTCTATCAAATAACATGTTTCTCTTTACCTGCCCTGCCTCGCTGCTGCATTTGCTTCCTTCTACATCTGAGGCACTTTCTTTCAATATTTAGGTTATAAAATAACCTCATCTGTCACAGCTGTTACTTCATCTTTAGTGAAAGGCTAGAAGCTAAATGTCATACCTAAAACACTCACTTCTTCTTGGAAATGATAATTTCAGCCTCAGGAGCCTGTTCCACAGTGGTGGCCCCAGGTGCTTCCTGCAAGGCCGTGCTGAGCTGGACCAGGCGCCTCCCAGCGATGGGGTTTTGGGGAGGAGAGGGGAGCAGGCAGCCAGCTCTGCATCCTGGCACATCCCAGCAGCTGAGCAGCCCCCAGAGCCGGCTGCAAGCTCGTGCAGTTTAGAGCAGCTATGAGATGTACTCTGAGCTTTGCCGGTGGCCACATCGTTTGGTCTCGAATTGGAGGCAGACAGCCAAAGAGGAGGAAAACCTGCCATTCCCTCCATCCCAGCGAAGTATGCCGAACACTGCCTCAGCACACCCAAGGATTCAGCTCTGGGAAGCCTGACTCAGACCCTGATCCTCAAGACAAACACGTCACTTTACCTGCACTTTGCTTTTTCAGACCAGATCCTAGGAAAGAAATACCTCTGTCGCCACAGGGCTGGGCGGGGGTGTGCTGCAGCATGGCTGCAGGCTGTTTCTCTCCCTTTGCTCGCCTGTGGCAGTCCGTGTGTGTGTCGTGGGGCTGCTGCCTCCTCCCCACCGAGAGCTGCAGTCCCACGGCACTCTCCTCTCTGCTGCCATGCTGGGGATTCCACTGCGGCCACACAGATTTTTCCACTCGCATCCAGAGCCCGCACCCATAGCCCCGGGTGACTGGCTTCCACAGAAAACAGAAGGTCCAAGGGGTTACAAGGGCACCTCCTACGAGTTCAAGGGATTACACGGTCTGTGATTTGGCTCACCTATAGTACACCAGGAGGTCCCCCAGAAAACTTCAGTTTGTTAACAAGAGATGGTAAAGGCTGCTGTGTGATGGGGACAACATTAGCAATATGCTAATGCATAATGCATATTGCACTCCTCAGTGCAGCAGATTTTAATAGCAAGTAACCATATTCTGAATAAACCTCGTACCTAATACTGGGACAAACAAACAACTGACCACCAGATTCTCATTTATCCAGCTGTTTTCTTATCCTTACCGATCCTAGTAGGTGAAGGGGAGACTTAAAGGAATAACAAAAGCTGAATGAATGGTTTTTCTTGAAGGGAGACATGCACTGCTTGCTCATCACTCACAGCTTTTTCAGCTAGCTAACAGTGCAAGGAACCAAAAAGCAGTTTACTGCTGAGATGCCAGAGCACTGCAGCATGAGAACTGCACAGCGTCGCCTAAGCTCCCTTGCCACAGTGGCGTGCTGTCCCTGAAAGCGCTCAGGCACGAAAAATAATAACTTCCACCTCTCTCTTTCATTGTTGTTTAAACAGTGACCATCACTTGCAATTCCCCTTTCCCTTCTGACAGTAGTGTTTATGTGTGTCCTGTACCACGCCAGAGATTTCTAGAACAGAGTTTTCTCTTCCTTTAGCCTTTAGCCATTTGCATTTGGTAACATCTTGGTCTTGGTTTTTGTTTACTCTAAGTTCCATGTTCACTCAGTTATTTATTTTAAACAGAGGAAAGATGCCTTCATCTAGCAGACAAATCCCTTTCTGCAAATACCTCCAGGGGAGCGCTGTGCTGGTCTCACACCTCTACACCAAGCTACCTTTCGGATCCCACTGCCCTGGTGCCGGCTGGTTTTGCCTGTGGGCCCAGGCGGGGATGCCAGGAAGCAAAAGCTAAAATCCTTTCACTTATCCTGGGCTAATCCACTTGCTCCAGGGCCTCTGAGAGCCGTGGCTGCAACGATTCCTTCAAGCTGGTTTTGGCTGCCGGTCCTCCTACCTCTGCCATCAGCACGGAAAGGCAGGCACTGGGAACCAGAGACCCCCCAGTCGGCTCCGTTCGGCTGCCCTGGGATGGCCAAGCCCTGCACCAGGCTCTGCAAGACAGCTCTTTCCCCTGCGGAGCT